CAAAGGATTTTATTTTTCCTTCACTTATGAAGCTTAGTTTGGCTGGATAGGAGATTCTGGGTTGAAAGTTCTTTTCTTTAAGGATGTTGAATATTGGCCCCCACTCTCTTTGGGCTTGTAGGGTTTCTGCTGAGAGATCTGCTGTGAGTCTGATGGGCTTCCCTTTGTGGGTAACCCGACCTTTCTCTCTGGCTGCCCTTAGTATTTTCTCCTTCATTTGAACCCTGGTGAATCTGATGATTATGTGCCTTGGGGTTGCTCTTCTTGACGAATATCTTTGTGGTGTTCTCTGTATTTCCTGGACCTGAATATTTGCCTGCCTTGCTAGGTTGGGGAAGTTTTCCTGGATAATATCCTGAAGAGTATTTTCCAGCTTGGATTCATTCTCTTCTTCGCATTCAGGTACGCCTATCAAACGTAGATTAGGTCTTTTCACATAGTTCCACATTTCCTGGAGACTTTGTTCATTCCTTTTTACCCTTTTTTCTCTATTCTTGTCTTCCCGTTTTATTTCATTGAGTTGATCTTCGACCGCTGATATCCTTTCTTCTGCTTGGTCAATTCGGCTGTTGATACTTGTGAATGCTTCACTAATTTCTCGTGTTGCGTTTTTCAGCTCCATCAATTCATTTATATTCCTTTCTATTTTTTCCATTCTCATTAGCATTTCGTCAAATCTTTTTCAAGGTTCTTAGTTTCTTTGCATTTGGTTAGAACATGTTCTTTTAGTTCACAGAATTTTCTTACTACCCACCTCCTGAAGTCTGATTCTGTCATTTCATCACACTCGTTCTCCATCCAACCTTGTTCCCTTGCTGGTGAGGAGTTGTGATCCCTTTTAGGAGGAGAGGTGTTCTGGTTTTGGGTGGTTTCATCCTTTTTGCTATGGTTTCTTCCCATCTTTATGGATTTATCCACCTGTCGACTTTGTAGTTGCTGGCTTTCAGATTGGGTCTCAAATCTTTCAGATTGACGTTCTGTTTGTTGATGATGAGGTTATTTCTGTTTCTTGGTTTTCCTTCTGACAGTCTGGCCCCTCTGCTGTAGGTCTGCTGAGGTTCACTCCAGGCCCTGCTTGCCTGGGGTTCACCTGCAGCAGCTGCTGAACAGCAAGGGTTGTTACCAGTTTTCTTCTTCTGCTATCTTTGTCCCAGAAGGGTACCTGCCAAGTGTCAATCTGATCTCTCCTTTATGAAGTGGGTCTTTGGATATACAGGGGTCAGGGAGCTGCTGGAGGAGACAGTCTCTTCTTTATAAGAGCTCAAATGCTGAGCTGTGAGCTCCGTTGTTCATTCAGAGCTGCTGGGCAGGTACGTTTAGGTCTGCTGCAGCAGAACTCATAAACTGCTTTTTGTTCCCAGGTGCTCTGTCCCAGGGATTTAGGGCTTTATGAGTTTCCTGTTATGCTGCTGCCTTCTTTTTTTTTTTCCTTCAGAGCTGCCCTGCCCAGCAAGGAGGCAGCCTAGTCACTGTCTGCCTGTAGAGGCTTTGCTGAGCTGCTATGGGCTCCGCGCAGCTGCCGAGTGAACTTCCCTGCAGTCCTGTTTATATGGGTGTAGTTAGAACTGCCTAGACAATGGTGTCCCGCCTCTGTTAAGGTGGAGCCTCTCTGCAGTGGCAGGTTGCCTTGGCAATGGCGGCTGCCTCAGCAATGGTGGGTTGCCTTGGCAATGGTGGGCTGCTTCAGCATTGGCTGACTACCTCTGTAGTGGTGGGCTGCCTTGGTAATGGCGGACGCCACTCCCCCACAGAGCTGGACCGTCCAGGGTTCAGCTGCTTGCTGTGAAACTCTCAATCCAGAGAGTTTCTGATTGCTGTTCTTTTGTGGGGGTGGGACCACCCGAGCCTGATCGCCTGGCTCCCTGCCTCAGAGCCTTTTTTTTTTTTTTAAAGTTGGTGTTCCAGTCACCTGTTGAAGAGGCACCGCGGTGTGTGTTTTTTCCCGTGCAACAACTCACTGTGCTGGCTTAAACAGTGGCACTGAGATTCATGGCACTTTTTTTGCCCTGGAATCTATTGTCCTGGTTCCCTGCTCAGGCCCCTTTTTAAACAGATGAATGGGCGACTTCCTGTGGCTCCAATCGCCAGCCAAAAGGGTACCCAGACTGGTGTATTTTGTACGGAGAACCGCTGCTCCGGGTCGCCGACAAAGCAGCCGCGTGGGGAAAGCAGCGGCGCCAGCCGGCACAGCCGCACTGGCTGAAACAGCCGTGCTGGTGACCCATGGAGCTCCTCCGTCTGGGAATTGCCTAGTCTGTGGGCAATAAAAATGCGGCGTCCACTCCCCCTCCGCGCTTTCACTGGGAGCTGCAATCCTGAGCTGTTCCTAAACTGCCATCTTGGATCGATCCGAGGTGGATAATTTAAATTGAAATAAAGGATGACTCCTACAGGAACAAATGCAAAAAGCCATTGTTCATGATACAATTTTTAAAGTAAGAGCTTTTTAAAAAGGAGCTTCCTAAGAGGATTTGGCCATGGAGAATACACATAAGGCTAAAAAGTCAAATGTTATATTTTTGTTTTGTGTTTTGCCTGTAGAACAGCGGAAACATGTTGTTTTTGGGAGTGAAACAGAAGAAGGCGAAAGCAATGACTATGAAGCTAATATTGTGAATGAGGTTGATATTAATGATAAAGAAGATGAATTTAAAAAGGTATTTATTGTGGAACAACTTCTTGCAATTCACAGAATTATGACTTATAGGATTATAGATAACCCCATATAGCGCTTCTTCCAGGCAATTCTGCAACCAATCTGTATCTAATTTATAACAAAATCCAGAAAGTATATTTTTCAATTTTATACTGTAGGATCAGGCAATCCTTTAAGCTTTCCCAAATATCATCTTTTGACGTGATTCTGTCAGTTACAGTTTATGTAGTCAGCTCCCCTTATTGTGATTGACCATGTTTTCTCGTATAGTAAATGTGACTTCAGGGATTGGGGCAGCAATCATTTTGACTTAGAATGGAGAACTCTGTTCTCAGTTACTGTGTTTAATGGCTATCTGTACTGCAAGTCCAGGTTGTGGTTCACTTGGGGCCCAGGGATTTGCATTTTGAACTAGCACTACGGATGACCACTCTGGACTCTTCCCCCAGGAGAAGCCCTAGATAGGTAGATTTTCACATTGTGTTGAAATGTGCTGAGAATAAAGGTTCAGAAGGTGTCCTGGGGTTTCTTTTTCCTTGTTAGGCCTTACCCTTCTGGTCATGCATGAACTCTGAATGTCACTCCCACATTTACACTCATTCCTGCTTTCTCTTCCTTGAGTAGTTTTCTTTTAATCATTCATACCCACCTTCTTTTCATTCTTTCTCTATTTTACCCACTTTTACACATTCTGATACAGTTTTATAAATAAATGGCACACATTTATTCCAATTTCACCTTCTTGCTCTCAAGGATGATATTGCCAGATAATTGGGAAACACTTTTCTGCAGCATCTAGATTTCTGCAGAGTTTAGGCTTCTTCTCAATACCATGCACCAGGCAGCTGTTAGCAACCAGTGGGTGTCAGCTGGAGTACTCCCTTCTCAGAAGTCCTTGTCTTCTGGTTGCATTCCCTTTTGACACTGGCTGAAGTCCTTAGAGCATGACCGAGTACGTACAGAACTTCTCCAGTTGGGAGATCACTGGAGCTGCATTAGTTGTCACCTCCTAAATAGCCTCTGCCTCTCAAATTCATCTCCCACATTGGTGCCAGAATGGTCTTAACATAAAAATCTGATTATGTCACATCTTTGGCTTGATAATTCACCAGGCCTGACTGTATCTCATTGCCACATGGAAAAGCTTGATATTCTTCTTTGTTCATGCCTTATTGCTCTCTCTTATGATCCCAATCAACCTGCCTCACCAACCCAGTTTCAGAGGGGTTGGGTTCTAGAGCAGTGAGGAGCAGTAGGGTCAGAGCCTTGCCCTGATGTGTGACTCACTGTATAAGCAAGACATGGGCCCACATCTTTACCTACCAGGCTCAAAACCTGTCCTGTGCTTTGATCGGTAAACTTGGTTACTTCTTCCAAGGGAAGGAAGGGTGTGAAGAGAGGGTCAAACTGTGGTCCCAGAGGGTAGAATTTTTATCTCATGTATTTGGGTATTGTACATTTTAAAATACATTTATCCACTAAGCGGAGCTTCTTGAGAATGGAGACCAGTTATCTTCTTGTGCCCAGACCCTTAATCATTGAGAAATGTACCACATTTAAAGTGCTTCAGTTTTGTTAGGTGAAAATTGAGTGTTGAGCAAACCGGGATTACTCTGAACATACTGTTTGTGAATTTCGGCTTTTGAATAAGTCCCTCTGTTTTGTTAGGGTGCTTATGCAAACTCAGTTTTCATATATTCTTATTTGTCTAAAAATAACAGACAAATAAATTGGGATCGAAATTGTATAGTTTATTATTTTTTGCCTTTCACATGTCACTTCTAATATTATATCATTGTTTTGGGGATGCTCAAGGTTTTTTTTGGAGGAGAGATACCAAATTTAATCTGATTTCTTATTACAGGAATGTAAAGAGGTCTTTGCTTTTTTCTCTCATCAATTACTAGACAGTCTTCAAAAAGCTACACGGTTATCTCTGGACACAATGAAAAGAAGAATATTTGTTGCAAGGTAAGTTGAAAGTATGCTAATTATGTCTGGTGATCATACTTATCATACTAAAATGTGAATAGCATTTTTACACATTTATTTTTAAAAAACTATAAAATTTAAAATATAGCATTCATTAAAAAACTGTATGAAAATATTTGTGTAATACTGCAAGAACTGTGGTCAAATGAACACCCATGTTCCCAACACCCTGCCTGAGATTAAAAAAGGCTACTCGTCCCTTTAATGGGTCCTCTTCCTTCTAACTCAAAGGTAACCACTATCCTGAACCTGGTATTTATCATTGTCTTGGTTTTCCCTCACGGTTCACTACGTTTTTGTATCCCCAACCCATGTATCAGTTAAGTTTGCTTGTATTTGAACTGTGCTCAATATAATGTTTTTGAGATTAATCCATGGGGTATAGTTTTTTACACTTCTGTGTAGTTAGAGTATACACAGTCTGTTTATCCATTCTACTGGTGATGGTGATTTGGGTTGCTTCAGTTTGTGCTATCATGAATAAAGCTTCTGTGAGCATCTTGTTCCTGTCTCCTGCTGCACCTGCTAAGAGTGGGTTTGCAGGGTCCTAGGGTATCTGCATGCCTCATTTTATCAGCCAGTGCCTGGTGAGAGTGCCCACGGCCCCTAATCCCTTCAGACAGTATTATTAGATTAAAATATTGTTGCCAACATAGAGGGTGTGAAATGACATCTCATCGGGATTAGCTTGCATTTTCCTGGTTACTGATGAGATTAAACGTAGTTTCTTGTGTTTATGGGTCATTTGTTGTTTCTCTTCCTTAAAATTTGTGTTCCTTTTTTGGCCTGTTTTTCTATTGAATTGGATTAATTAATAAGTATTTTTAATATATACATTTATCCACCATTATTGATGAAATTATAACAAATGTCTTTTATCAGTTTTGCCTTATCTTTTCATTTTCTTTATTTTCATTTTCCATTGCTGAGTTTTAAAAATATTCAAGTTTATCAATCTTAGTGATTTGTGGTCTTTTTAAAGAAACCAACTTTTCCCTACTTCATAATGTCTTCCAAAAGTTTTGTGGCTTTGACCTTTATATTTAGGGATTGAATTTACATGGTATTGATTTTTATGCTTAGTGTGAGGCAGCAAATTAATATATTTTTTTCATATGGTTAATTAGTTGACTAAGCAAAAGCTGTTGAAAAATCAACTTAGTTGTGAGGTCGGGTGGGGGAGTTATTTAAGCTTCATTGAATCTATAGATCAATTTGGACTGAATTAGCATCCTTACAAATATTGAATCTTCTATTCAGAATTATGTATTATCTCCGCATTGGTATAAGTCTTCTTTAATATCTATCTGTAATGTTTTATAATTCTCTGTGTAAAGGTTCTGCACTTTTTTTTTTTAAGATTTATTCCTTGGCTATTCATTGCTGATTTTGTCCTGGTCAACTCTCCCAGTGTGATTGTGAATTTATCAAAGTTTCCTTGTTTTGGTTAGTTCGTTTTATGTATTTTATGGCTGTGTTGTTAGGTACATACAAGATCATAGTAGTTAAATCTGCTTAAGAGGGCTATTCCTTTTATTTTTATTTGATGAATCCCTTTATCTACATTAATCCTGATTCCTCACAATTCTCTTTAGTTTGTTGTTAATTTACTTTCCCAACTTTTTTGTATAATTGTTTCAGTCTCTTTACTTAAACCTTTCTCTATATTTTTTAGTTTTACCTTTTAAAAACATTGTATATATGATAATTTTCCTTCAATCTCATTATCTCTGTCTTAGTGAGTTTAATCTGTTTGCATTTATTGTGATTTTCGATATAGTTGCACTTAATTTATGACATTTTAGTTTGTTTTCTCAGTATCCTTTGTCTGTGTATCTATCTCAGTATCTATTCATTTTATTATGACTGTTGTCTTTGGGGTAGATAATTTTCATCATTTATTCTCTTTTCTGTACTTTAGTTCTTTATGTGATTACACATAACTTTAGAATGCACATGTTTTGCTCCAACTAAAAAAAGTACTGGCCAGACGCAGTGGCTCACACCTGTAATCCCAGCACTTTGGGAGGCCAAGGCAGGTGAATCACTGAGGTCAGGAGTTTGAGACCAGCCTGGCCAACATAGTGAAACATCAAAAATTAGCCAGATGTGGGGGTGCACATTTGTAGTCCCAGCTACTAGGGAGGCTGAGGCAGGAGAATTGCTTGAACCTGGGAGGCAAAGGTTGCAGTGAGCCGAGATTGCACCACTACACTCTAGCCTGGGAAACAGAGTGAGACTTTGTCTCAAAAAAACAAAAAACAAAAAAACAAAAAAAAGGTACTGTCCTTAGTTTTGCAGTTTCTAGTCTTATTTTTGACTACAAGGGCCTTGGCAGGCTTTACTCACTGAACCATACGTACCTTATTGCTGTTTGATGTTTTAGTTTTACCTTTGTGTGAACACTCAAAAATAATATATTAAAATAATTTATTTACTGGCATATTTTATTAAAATCTCTGTTGGGGGGAAATAGGGGAGCGACAGCGGGGGGAGGGGAGTTGGGGAGAGATAGCATGGGGAGAAGTGCTAGATGTGGGTGATGGGGAGGAAGGCAGCAGATCACACTGCCACGTGTGTGCCTATGCAACAATCTTGCATGTTCTTCACATGTACCCCAAAACCTAAAATAAAATAAAATTTAAAAAAAAAATCTTCAGGTTCTCATGTACTTTTTTTGTATTCCATTGGTTCTTTAGTGAGGATCTGTGAGAAGAATATGCTCTTATCCTTTTTTGTAAGTCTGAAAATGTTTTGCCCTCATACTTTCTAACATTTTGACTGGATATAAAATTTTTCTTTGTCTTTTAGCATTTGGTAAGTATTCATTTTTTTCTGAGTTATGTTGCTGCTGATGAGAAGTCTGCATGAGTCTAACTGAATATTCTCTTTCAATCCTTAATGTTTCTGCAGTTTTCTGACCCCATGTGGATTTGTCTTTATTTAATCTAGCTTTGTTCTCAGAGTATACTTTCTATTTGCGGGTTGATAGCTTTCCTTAATGCTGGAAAAAACCTCAGCAATTTCCCCTTTAGTTATTGCTACTAGGATATTCTTTCATTGTCTTCTTCTGGAACTCGTATTAATGGAAAGTTGAACAGAGTGACCAAATAATTTATTGCTCCAACTGTGACACTTCTGTGACTGAAGGGGCATTGTTCAGATGAGGTGCCAGGACATGGCGAATCTAGAACTGTCCTGGGCACACTGGACATGTGGTCATTTCATACGTTGGGGCTTCTCAGTCTCTTCTCCTTGTCATCTAATGATTCTGTCACCTATGTTATCTTCTTGCCTTTCTGAAATACATTATGGGCAAGTATCTCTGTATCTATTCTAAAGATTTTATCATCTGCGACATTTTAAATATTTCAAGAAAAAACACTTTTTCCTTTTCCTTCACATATGGTATTATTCCTGCCTTTTTAGTTTAGCAATTTATTTTTTTATTTTTTTGGAAGATCATCTTCATACATCTCTTTGAACATTTTCAGTATCCTTACTTTAGAGCTTGTTATCTGGACATTAATTTTTATCTGGAGTGAGTTTCTGTTTCAGTTTTGGATTTCGTTAGCTCTCTTTCTTACCCTTAGACGTATACACACATACTTGGATTTAATGTGCAGGCTCTCTTTGAGTGAGAGCTTTGTTTTTGTGTTTCTTTTTCCTTCTCTCCCTCCCTATCTAGGAGTTTTACTTTTGCCTCCAAATAACACTTGGAATCCTGAGTACAGAACCAGGTCTTATTTCTTCACAGTTACTGGCCCCTGGAGACATACTGGGGGTATGGCAGGTTTGGCCAGGGAGCACATGTGTGGCCTGACTTAGGTGCTTATCAGGGAAGCTGTGGATGTGCTTCTTTTGCCCCACCTCCACATCTTCTGGAAAAGCCACAGCTGCAGGTAGTAGGTTGACAGCCCTTGCCTTGCAGCATCATCTGCAAGACAGGTGGGAGAGCATCATCTTAGTTTTTGGCTTCAAGTAGTGAGGCTGGCTGAGCCCCCATCCTGCATGGAGTCTTATTCCTCCTCTGCATTCCATCAGAGCCAACCTCCCCAAGGTCGCTGCCTCTTTCTAGCCCAGAACCCTGGCCAGGCTGTCCTTGTGTCTTTCTACATTTCTAACTCCATGGAGATGCTTACCTTGTATTTGAGCATTCTCACATCCCTATCTCCCATCTGTGATTGTGATGTGTTTGACAAAAAGAAGCTTTTTTGAAGTATGAACTCACTATGCCATGTTGATTTACAAGTTCTGTTGAAATTCAGCATTTTCTGAGGAGCCATACATGAGGATAATACTCAAAATCCTTACTTGTCTAAAATGTCTTTCTCTTATCCCCATACACGAATGCTAGTTTTGTCTTCTGGGATCATAATCCCTTTCCCTCATACTCTACAGAGGCTGCTCCATTGGCTTCTTTGGTTTCCATTTTTAGAGGAAAGTTCTCTGCTAATCAGATTTTCCTTTCCAACCAACAACCTGTATTTGTTTTGATGCTTACAGGATTTCTTTTTTATTCTTGAAATTCACAAATTGTATATTCAGATGTAGCTGATTTTCTTCCCCCATTAATCCTGTCAGGCACACAGAGAATCTTTTCAAGATAAAAAAAATAAGCCTATTCTTAAGGTGAAAGGAGTGCTTTGCTTTAATTTCCCATATCTACACAGTATTCACATTCTGTATCTAGGTAGTAAGCATCTCTGAGCGGAGTGACCCTCTGGAAATTACCTAGCCTCTCCCTACCTTGGTTTTCTTATCTACAATGTAGAAATAACAGTAATCATAGGATCTGCCTTACAGAATTGTGTGAACATAAACTGGTAATTATGGAAACTGCCTGGCATACATTAAGCATTCAATAAATTTTACTTATTCTTACCTTCTCTTTGTATTTTGCATCTGAAATTTTGGAGAATACCTTAAGGTGATTCTCTAATTTGCTGTGTAAAGTACCAAAAGATCTAATGTGCTGTTCATCGCCTCTATTACTCATCTATTCCTTTATACTTTATGAAAACTCTTATTCTCAAATTACACACTTTGAATCAATGCCTACACCAATTTTATTGTGACATCTTGAATTTCACTGGGAAACTATGAATTGAGGGGTTCTGTCTGCTTGCTTGCTTTTGTTCAGAGTCCTTTTCAATAATATGCTTATCTGGGAACCACTGGCCCTGAGTGCTAAATGTTGGGTCTTCACTTTTGACCTGTGTTCTCTATGTTTCTTGTGATCCCCTCCTGCGCCCATCCGCTTGTATTTAGAAATGGAGATGGAGGTTTTCAGTAATGACAGTATTTCTTGCACTCCTAGAGAAAAAGAGAATGGAGAGTTTGCATTTATTGTTAATTTTCTCTGGGATAGGGGTAGAGGTTAAGACAGAGGGAGCTATGCTAGCCAGACTAATTTGCAGCTCTGCGTGTGTCCTTCATAACTGGACTCGGGCGTCTGTGCTGCTGTCTGTGCATGAGTGATATTGTTTAACAAAGCAGTTTTTGGAAGGCATGGACCAGAAACTTCCTGTTTAATCTTGTAAAAATATAGATAAAAAAGCATATAAAGGTATATGCTTTTTGTTGGTAATCTTGTCCTATATCTGTTGGAGGGCTGCAAACAAAGGATGCCTTTAGTAAACATCGTTAAATGTTATTACTGAGAAAGCACAACATTAAAATAGCAGACAATGTATATGAGATTAGTATTTTACTTCTATTAGGTCACTGGATTTTCTTAGTTCTCTGCAATTTAGGGTTCTATTAGAAGTAATATTCTCATCCTGGTCAACACGGTGAAATCCCGCCTCTACTAAAAATACAAAAAATTAGCTGGGCATGGTGGCGCATGCCTGTAATCCCAGCTACTTAGGAGGCTGAGGCAGGAGAATTGCCTGAACCCAGGAGGCGGAGGTTGCGGTGAGCCGAGATAGCGCCATTGCACTCCAGCCTGGGTAACAAGAGAGAAACTCTGTCTCAAAAAAAAAAAAAAAAGAAGTAATATTCTCTTTGTGTAATTTAGCCCTTTAAAAATGGCCTTTATTGTTAAGACTGAATTTTGTAGCATGATAAACTATTAATGAAATTTTAGGTTAAGGTTCATCAGCTGAATGTCCATCTCATTGCAGCCATTATGGACGAAAGCGGTCAGAAGATACTATTTCCTTTATAAAAAGTGAAGTACATCTTGCAATTCCTAATGTGGTAGGTATTATTAAATACACTGATATTTTGGCAAGGTACTTAAGAAGTATGGTATTAGAACTGAGCTTTCATTTAGAGTAATGTTTTGGTCCTATGTATATTTTTACTTTTCCTCACTGTTTAACAAAATGGAAATGTCATTAGTATCTGTTATTAAAGCTACTTCTGGGCCGGCGTGGTGGCTCATGCCTGTAATCCCAGCACTTTGGGAGGCTCAGGCAGGCATATCACCTGCCTGGCCAACATGGTAAAACGCTGTCTCTATTAAAAATACAAAAATCAGCTGGGTTTGGTAGTGGGCACTGTAATCCCAGCTACTCAGGAGGCTGAGGCAGGAGAACTGACTGAACCTCGGAGTTGTAGGTTGCAGTGAGCCGAGATCATGCCACCACACTCCAGCCTGGGTGACAGAGTGAGACTCTGTATCAGAAAAAAAAAAAAAAAAAAGTTACTTTGTATTAGCTCATGGTGTATTCAAGGGCTAGTATAAGAGTTGAGTTAGGCATCTGTTCTGCCATCAATTAGCAAGTACCCTACAAATTGCTTTTTCTTACTTCAGATATTAAATTATCTAAATAAAATCATCACAGGTGTCCTGATCCCTACCCCAAACACATGACTGAGGCAAACCACTAAGGATGGCAGAAGATAAAGACAGAAAGAGCCTGTTCTCTGAGCATCTGAATCACCCGTGTCTTCCCATGGCACTTATCTCTACAACTACCCCAGCTGCTGATGGGCATCTGGAACTCCAAGCCATATGGGATGGCTGAGCTGCATTCTGTGATAGGTCAAAGAATAAGGCCAGGCAGAAATGGCTTGTGACTCACCTAAAACCACCTTTACGTGGTCTGACCTACAGAAGGATAGCTTTTTAGCTTATTTGGCACATTTCCAAGAACTGAGGTCAGAATCTTGGTGACGTAGTTTCTTCAGTTACTTTGTTTCCCCGATCTCTAACAGTAGTCTGTAATTCCCCACTGCATTCTGCCACCCTCATTGGGAAAAGGATGACAAGTACTAGTTTGACCTTTTTAACAAAATCAAAATGTCATTTGTATTTGTTATTAAAAGTTACTTCTGCATTAGCTCGTGGTGTAATGAGGCCTGTAGGAATTGACAGAACAGGAAAACTTCAGGGTAGAGAAAATCTGCACCCCCACGCCAATCCTCCTCTATCATTCTTCCCCTCAAATCAGCCTTCTGCTGGGCCAGCCGAGGCTTGGCCCACTCAGTGGGGAATGGAGGTGATGAAAATCGAGGGATGGACTGTATGACCTGGCAGTATTAACATTTGTTTCTTCTTTCCACAGGTAATGATTCCTAGTTTGGATGACATTCAACAAGCCATCAACCGTATGATCCAGTTAACCCTGGAGGTCAGCAGAGGAGTGGCTCACTGGGGGCAACAGCAAATCCGTCCCATCAAGCCTGTCATTCCCAGCCCCACCACTACTGACCTGACCCATCAAAGCACAGGGAAACCGTTGAAGAAGGAAGAAAGTAAGAATGTAAAATTAGTAAATGATCTTAATGATCCTTCTTGGATTTGATAGCATGTAGATTTTTAAATTTTAAAATTTTTTTATTACTTTAAGTTCTATGATACATGAGCAGAACGTGCAGGTTTGTTACATAGGTATACACGTGCCATGGTGGTTTGCAGCACCCATCAACCCGTCATCTACATTAGGTATTTCTCCTAATGCTCTCCCTCCCTTTGCCCCCCACCCCCGACAGATTCCCGTGTGTGATGTTTCCCTCCCTGTGTCCATGTGTTCTGTCCATGTGTTCTCATTGCTCAACCCCCACTTATAAGTGAGAACATGTGGAGTTTGGTTTTCTGTCTTTGTGTTAGTTTGCTGAGAATGATGGTTTCCAGCTTCATCCATGTACCTGCAAAGGACATGAACTCATCCTTCTAAAATTATTTTATATGTTTGATACATTTTGCATTAAAAACTAGTGTATTATGTTTCATCTTATATATAACATGCAGGTGTATTTTCCTAGTTTGGGGTGGTGGGTGAAAAGGATTTTTAAGTCACTTTTCTACTATGATGATCTTAAGTTAAAAATTAAAATAAGCCTTAGCACTAATTTTACTTTCAGCATTATATTAGGCTGGATAAACTTAGTTTGTTACAACATGGTTCTTAGAAAAACTAAGTCATGTGTTCTTTGCATATAAGGCAAACATAAATTAGTCCCTTAAGTAATTGTGAATATGATATGAAAGTGATCCAAAATTTCATGGACCTTTTTTTGATACTTCCTGTATAGAAAGAAACTGGTTTCTTACTTTATTTTAGTTTAGTTCCAGGGTACATGTGCAGGATGTGCAGGCTTGTTACATAGGTAAACATGTGCCATCAACCCATCACCTAGGTGTTAAACCAGCATGCATTAGCTATTTTTTCTGATGCTCTCCCTCCCCTTATCTGCCTCCCCCACCAACAGGCTCCAGTGTGTGATGTTCCCCTCTCTATGTCTATGAGTTCACATTGTTCAGCTCCCACTTACAAGTGAGAACATGCGGTGTTTGGTTTTCTGTTCCCGCATTAGTTTGCTGAGGATAATGGCTTCCAGCTCCATCCATGTCCTTGCAAAGGACGTGATCTCATTCTTTTTTTATGGCTGCATAGTATTTCATGGTATATATGTACCACGTTTTCTCTATCCAGTTTATCATTGATGGGCATTTGGGTTGATTCCCAGTCTTTGCTATTGTGAATAGTGCTGCAGTGAACATAGGCACGCATGTATCCTTATAACAGAATGGTTTATATTCTTTTGGGTATATATCCAGTAATGAGATTGCTGGGTCAAATGGTATTTCTGATTCCAGGTCTGAGGAATCACCACACTGTCTTCCACAATGGTTGAACTAATTTACATTCCCACCAACAGTGTAAAAGCATTCCTATTTCTCTGTAGCCTTGCCAGCATCTGTTGTTAATTGCCATTCTGACTGGCATGAGATGGTATCTTATTGTGGTTTTGATTTGCATTTCTTTAATGATCACTGACGTTAAGGTTTTTTCACATGTTGGTTGGCTGCATAAATGTCTTCTTTTGCGAAGTGTCTAGTCATGTCCTTTGTCCATTTTCTAATGGGGTTGAGAAACTGGTCTCAAAACTATGTTGCTTCCACTGTGAAGCAGGGAAAGGCAAATTGAAAACAAGATACCAGGTAAGGCCCAGCGTGGTGGTTCACACCTGTAATCCCAACACTTTGGGAGGCCGAGGGGTGGATCACCTGAGGTCGGGTGTTTGAGACCAGCCTGGCCAACATAGTGAAACCCTGTCTCTCCTAAAAATACAAAAAAATTAGCAGAGCATGGTAGTGGGCACCTGTAATCCTAGCTAATGCGGAGGCAGGGAGGTTGCAGTGAGCTGAGACGGCACCACGGCACTCCTCCCTGGGTGACAGAGGGAGACTCTGTCTCAAAAAAACAAAAAAACAGAAAAACCCCCCAAACTCCAAGATACCAGGTAAGTTACATGACCAGGTGGCTTAGACCCCTATGGTACCTTTCTATGTTGCACTAACATTGCCTTCTCAGCTTACATCTATTATCTCATGGGGTGTTTCCTATAATCGGCTAATAAAGGATGAAAAATCTCAGGACTGGTCTATCCGATGGCTTAATATGCTGGTATCACCTGAAAATGGACTTCTATTGCACTAGAGCTCACTTAGGAGTGGCACTAAGGGACATTCCCCCCAGTGGGCAGAGCTTCAAGCCGTATAACCTTTTTAAGGAAGGAGATGTGGTCAGAAACAAAGATACATACTCTTGGGACCTAGTTCAGGACCTAGAAAGAGCAACTTTGGAAAATCAGAGACAAGAAGATCTAGGAAAAAAGCACATGGATGCATCGATGAATTTACATAAAATACCTGGCAAGAAAAATATTAGTTCCATCAGGGGTTCATCATAATCCCGAAAGGCACAATCCAGTGCCATAATCTCAAATGCTGAAATCCCAAAAGATCAAAATCCCAAAAATATAATTCTGGAAAAAATGATAAACAATTCTTTTAAATATGTTTATTTACATTTAATTTTGAGATTTGATTTTCAGAAGTTTAGACATGAATTTTATACTTTTGGGATTTAGATTTTAGGGATTTTGAGCTTTTGGGATTTCAACATTTGAGATTATGATGTTTGGGATTGTGTTTTCTGAGATTATGATTCAAACACAGGTCTTTCTTCTGAGAGGTTAAATAATTTTTCCAAAGTCACAGACCTAATGAGAGGGCTGGGAATGAATTCATATACCAAGATTAGTATCCAATTGTCTTACTTTTAGTTTGCCATTATTCTTTATTGTCTCCCTAGTCCATTCCATATATTTTTCTATTATTGTAGCAGGTGAAACATAAAACTATAAATTGTTAGGTGCAAAAATCTTTTTGCACTTACCAACAATCCTGCAAATAAGAATTCTATTCTGAGCTGGGTGGCGCGGCTGTCGGCGTCTGGGCAGACCGCCCCTGCCTGGCCCGGCGCCCGCTACGGCTGACCCCGCTACCGCTGACCCCGCCCCAGCGCGCGGCCCGGCTCAACGCTAGTCCTCTCCCCGCCGCCCAGAACCAGCAGCCGGGCCAGACCCGCCAAGGCCATGACGCCGGCGTCGACGGCCGCTGCGACGGCCCTGGGAGCGCATGAGGTTCCCGGGTCGCTGCGGCCTTCTGCGCTCACTCCCAGAATGCAGTGCGTGGCGCGTCTTTGAAGAGAGACCATGATGGCGGCGGCGCTGGGCCTCCAGAAGTGGTTGCCCAGCTGGAGAACGCGGCTAACGTTCCGATGGCACCACCTTCCATGGTCAATAATGAACAACGCCAGCATGCAGAGCACATATTCTTATCATTTACCAAACCAAAATCATCATTTGCAGTGAGCAAGCATATTTTTGTTCTTCATGCTTTGGAAGTAACGGTTGAAGAGAGGTAAGGAAAGTTTGTGAAAACTGTGATTGGTGATTAGCTGCTACCTGCCTGAGGTGTCTTCTGATGGAAACCAATCTCTTTGTAGTGCTAGAGCAAGGTCACTCGATTAAAAAAAAAAAAAAAAAAAAAAAAGATCAGAAACTAGTAAAGTGGACTATGTCCTTTTTCAAGCTGCCACAGCCATAATGGAAGCAGTTGTTTGAGAGTGGATTATCTTGGAAAAAGGTAGCATGGAGTCTCTGTGAACATTCCTTTTCCTTTTTTGTTTTTAAGATGGGGTTTCATTATGATGGCCAGGCTGGTCTTGAACTCCTGAGCTAGGTGATCCACCCACCTTGGCCTCCCAAAGTGCTAGGATTGCAGGCGTGAGCCACCGTGCCCAGCAAACATTCCTTTTAAACCTATGTCTTACAAAGGTCCAACCTTCAAAAGTATGTTCAGGAACAGATTCTACCAGCAGTAGCAGTAATTGTAAATGGAGGATCATTAGATACATCACTACATTAGATAAGTAGTGGCAATGCCACTGTGCAAACTCAGGCCTGTTCTATTCTGACTACACTATTGAGTGAATTTTCAAGTTCAAGTAAAACTAGCAACATTGGATTGAGCATGGAATTCCATGAACTGCAAAAGAGTTTTTCAGGAAGAGGATCTTGTTAGATCTTCTTGTTAACTGTTGAAGTTCTGCAGGAGTTCAGCAGGCGGGAAAACGTCAATGCTCAGATGTCTTCAGTATTTCAACATGGAGCTTTTCTTCACAGTACATTGTAAAATCAGAGAAGATTCAGATGTGGCGTAAGATTCTCTTCAGCACCTTGCCCATTTAGCTTCTCTTCATGGACTCATCTTCCCTGATGAAGGATCACAGGTTGATTAGCACACTTCATTGAGAGGTTACTGAATACTGTCAATGGAATTGACATAGAAGATTCTGAAACTGTGGGGATCTCCAGCATTATCAGCAGCCTCATAACCATGTTCCGACAGAATGTTTTAACTGCCATTCCAAGTGAACATTTCTCCTCCTTTGTTAACTGCCTCAAACACCTCACTTGTTCTTTTGGTTGATATGCTGCATTGGAAGAAGTGCTTGATAAAGATGACATGGTATACTTGGAAGCATATGATAAATTGTTGGAGTCCTGGCTAACTTTGGTGCAAGATGACAAACATTTCCACAAAGGCTTTTTTACCCAACATGCAGTTTAAGTTTTCAATTCCTACATTCAGTGCCACCTAGCTGCTCCAGATGGCACAAGGAATTTGACTGCCAATGGTGTGGCCTCTTGTGAGGAAGAAGAAATAAGTGAACTTCAAAAGGATGAGTGAGACCAGTTTTCTGATCGACTGACCAGTGTAGGAATGCTAGGAAGAATTGCCGCAGAACACTGTATACCTCTTCTGACAAGTTTATTAGAAGAAAGAGTAACAAGCTTCATGGTCAATTACAACCCTTTGTAATCAATACTACAGATTAATCACATTTATCTGTGAGATTTTTCCTGAAAAAATACCACAGCTTCCTGAGGATCTGTTTAAAAGTCTGATGTACTCCCTAAAATTAGGAATGACATCAATGAGTTCAGAGGTTTGCCAGCCTTGCCTGAAGGCCCTGACACCATTAGCTGAACTGTGTGCAAAAGTGCAAGAAACAGACTCACCAATTTTTCTAGCAACACGGCGCTTTCTTAAGCTGGTTTTTGATATGCTGGTTTTGCAGAAGCACAACACAGAGGTGACCACTGCGGCTGGCGAAGCTTTCTACACGTTGGTGTGTTTGCACCAAGCTGAATATTCTGAACTGGTTGAAACATTATTGTCAAGTCAGCAAGGCCCAGTTATTTACCAGACATTAGCAGATGCCTTCAACAAGCTCACTGCAAGCAGCACTCCTCCTGTGCTGGATTGGAAGCAGAAGATGGTCTTCTTAAAGACCTTAGAAGAATTTATGAAAAATAAAAATAAGGAAAGGGAATGGGATTAGACAGGGGCCTAGAGAGGACTAGAATATTGGTAACATTCTATTCTTAACTTGGTGTTGAGTACATTGGAATTCATTTTTCCCTCTTCTTTAGTATACATTTATTTCTTATTTTTCTTGAGCAATGTGTTTTATGTATGTTTCTGTAAGTATATTTCAGTTACCCACACACAGACATAAATACAACTGGTGAGAAACATTAAGTTTGCCTTGCCACGGTGGCTCCCTTGTGGAGAATACCTTTTAGTTGGCAGTTAGTGGTAGGCAGGTAATAGCAGTCTACTTGGTATATTTCTGAGTTTTGAGTAAATACAGAACACCTGTTTATTAATAATAATCACCTGTTAAGAGAGAATAAAGGCATGGATTAGAATCTGCTTGGGGCTGGCCTGGAATGCGGTCAGTCCCTGAGGCTCTTAGCTCCATAGGCTGCTGGCCCCCAGGATAGACCCACTTTGCTGTTCTATCTGGGTGTCTGCCTCTCATTGCCTTCAGAACCGCCTGAGTGGGGGTCTCTCGGCCGAGCTGATGCTCAGTATACAACCTCATGGCAAACTAGGAATATGACAGATTTTCCAATAGTGGTATCTGTAAAAATATTTAGAAGTATTCCATTACCAGCAAAATGAAGAATAAAGAAGGAAGCCCACTATTATTTTTATTTGATAGTTTACTAGAGATCTTCATTATGAAATAAGAAGAAAGAGAAGAATTGAAGAGGAAGACTGAGATTGGCCTTATTTAACGATTATATATAGAAAATCCAGGAAATCTACAAAGAATTGTTAAAACCCAATGCATTCAATAATGTTTATGTATGAAAGATCAACATACAAAAACCCCAGCATTTCTGCATTTACCAATAATTCAATTAATATATAATAGAAACAGATTTTTTTGTTAGCCACAAACCGTAACATATTAAATAAATGTAAAAAAAAATTGCACAGCATTTTTGAAGAAAATATTACTGAGTGAGATAATGGAAGACAAGAATAAGTCTACATCACAAAGAAATCAATTCTTTGATTAATCTATAAATTCAATACAATTCCAAAGTCAACTTGATTTATAAATTTGATCATAAAATTATATGGAAATAAAAAGAGTTAAAAATAGCCAAGAAAAATTCGTAGTGAAGAAAAGCAAGGTAGGGGGCCCTGCCCTGTCAAATAGCAAGGAGTATTGCCAGGCTAATGAAGACAGTCTTTTAATGGTCCAAAGATAGATAACATATAGCAAAACAGGGCAAAGGGTGCAGAAACACTCATATACAGTATATGAAAATACATGATATAGGTGGATTTATGAATCAGTGGAGAAAGAATGTACTATTAATAAATGTTGCTAAGGAGTTTTTCCATATGGGAAAAACTTACAGTAGTATCTTAAGTTAGATACATATCACACCCACTATTCTATATCCTATGACATTATTCTATTTTACAACACTTATAAAACAGCAAATATATTTAAAACATCTGGATAGGGAAGGATTCTCAAGACATATGAAGCTCAAACCGTAGAAGAAAAGATGTTTAAATTGGACTTTTTTATATTTAAAGACATCTTTAAAGGACCCTTAAATTTAAAAGACCATGCTGGAATCCTTAAGAAAATGTTAGCAAACTGAATCCAGCAGTATATAAAAAGGATTGTATAGTGTGACCAAATGAGGTTTATCCCACAAAAGCAAGGTTGGTTTAACATCCTAAAGTACACCATATGGATAGAATAAAGGGCAAAAACTCATGATCATCTCAATAGACATAGAAAAAACATTTGACAAAATCCAACACCCTTTCATGATAAACATGCTCAACAATCTGGGAATAGAATGAACTTCTTCAACCTCATAAAAGGCATCACACTGAATGTTGAAAGCCTGAATTCTTTCTCCCTAAGATTAGGAACAAGTCAAGAATACTAACTCTCACCACATGTACTCACCATTATCCTGGAGGTTCTATCAAGTGGATTAGGAGAAGTGAACTAAATTGAAGATATACAGATTGGAAAGGAAAAAGTTAAACTGTCTTTATTAGCAGATGACATGATCTTGTGTATAAAAATAACCTAAGGAATCAACCCTCACCCACACACACACAAAATATTAGAACTAATTAATGAATTCAGTAAGACTGCAGGATACAAGATCAATATACAGATAACTATATTTCTAAATATTAGCAATGAACGATCTGAAAATGAAATAAAACAATTTAAAAATTCACAAAAGGAAGAATGAAATACGTTTAACAGAAGTATAAGGCCTGTACACTGGAACTGCAAAACATTGCTTAAATTTATACCATGAAGAGATACAACATGGTTATGGGTTGGAAGATCCAATATTCTAAGCTGGCAATTCTCCCCAAATTAACCTATGGATTTTATATGTAATCTCTATCAAAATCCCAGAAGGCTTTTTTGTTGTTGTTGTTGCAGAAATTGACAAGTTGATCCTAAAATCTGAATAGAGAATAGGGGAATTCAAAGGACCTTTAATGAATAATGACCAAAATATGAAAAAGAACAAAGCTGGAGGACTTACCACTCCTTGATTTTACTTATTAATTTACTTATTTATTTAGAGATGTGGTCCCACTCTGTTGCCCAGGCTGGAGTGAGGTGATGCAGTCTTGGCTCACTGCAGCCTCTGCCTTCTTGGCTGAAGCAATCCTTTCCTCTCAGCCTCCTGAGTAGATGAGACTGCAGGCACACACCACCATGCTCAGCTAATTTTTGTATTACTGTAGAGAAAGGGTTTTGCCACGTTGCCCAGGCTGGTCGCAGACTCCTGGATTCAAATGATTTGCCTGCTTCCGACTCCCGAAGTGCTGGGATTCCAGGAATAGTCAACTGTACCCAGCCAGCTGGAGTCAAAATTTATCTTTAAACGATGTATCTTCAAGTTGGCCCCCATGATTAGAATTGATGCTTAGTCCACAGTTCTCCTATCAGCCTTGCCACAATTCTTTTATTTTGGCTTCCTTTATCTCTATTTGAATATGCATATACTGATAAGAACTTTGAAATTCTCCACCAAGTATCTTTGGGATCTAATTTCTTCAACTAGTTATTTTAGGGTGATTTTTAGAGTCGGCAGATCTGCCTAGTTTTGAACTTGACACCCTAGAAAAATAAAAGCATTGGTGACTATTGAAGACTGTATCAAACTGAACAATCTAAGAAAACTACACAAATACTATATCAGTAGAAATACCAGGTTTAATAAGCAGGAAGCCAAGATGCCAGATGCTGAGTGTCTACAGCACTGACCTTTAAACACCCCAGCAGAGGTTGTCTCTTTTAATCCTCACAAGTATATCCATGAAGACTAAATACCTGGCCCAAGGTCGTTTGGGTAATAAATGTAATGTCTCTCCTTGAACCACTGTGCTATTTCTCAGGGTGGAAATTTCAACGCTTTTAACCTTTTCCTAAAGGACTTTCACATTTTGGGGGGTTTTGATCAGTGTCTTCCAGTTATCCCTTCTCAATAACAGTGCTTCTAGATTAAAGAAATCTACAGCTCAAAATCTGACACCATAGTTTAATGAGAATACATGGAGATAGCAAGAGAATAGCTCTTAATTACTCGAAATAGCTCTTAGTTACTTGGAAGGAGAGTCTTTAAGAAAATACAGTTTGAAAAAAGAATCACAAATATTAAAACTGATTATATTTAAAGTTGAATATAGAAGTTATTTATAGTTTAAAAACATCTGTTTTCAGGATCTTTTGAAGAAGTTATCCCTGCGAGGAAGCTGAAGAATTTTTACCCAGGTGTAGCGGAGCACAAGGATATTTCTAAGTTGGTCCTGCTCCTTTCCTCCTCTGTAAATTCCCTAAGAAAGGCGGCTCATGAAGCCCTGCAGGACTTTCAGAAGTACAAGACTCTCTGGACAGAGGACCGTGATGTGAAAGTGAAGGTGTCTTTCTACTACTTGTGATGTTGTTTGGGTTTTGTGTCTCTTGAGGGTGGACAAGGAGAATATCAGGGATAATGATAGGAACTCAAGAGCAGAGATCAAGAACCTATAAATACCAAGTACCTGTCACCTTCTAACTGGTGTAATTCTCACATGGAAACACTGAGGCAATTGATAATACTGATATCAGACAGATTTTGTTCAATTTCCTTAAATAATTGAGTACCAGTTATGTGCCACCACTGACTAGAGGCCAGGTATTCAAGGGTGTGTCACACTTCTGTAGACAGCTGTATTTCAGTTACAGACTCAAGGAAACTTTAGAGCTCTGACTAACCCCGCCTGGCAGACTGTGAAACTCCTCGCCTCCCAGTGGACACCCCATTTCTTACTCAGCCACTTGCCCCATTGCACAAAGTGTAAAAGTGTATGAGCAAATGCAGTTTTCTATTGTAACTATTGCAAGATTTATACTGCTAAAAAATCAAAGAAAATATTGACTGTTTTCTTACTGCAGGAATTTTTGGCTAACAATCCCTCTCTGACTGAAATCAGATCAGAAATTCTACACTATGCTACTTTTGAACAGGAGATTGATGAGTTGAAGCCTGTCATTGTTGTAGGAGCACTTGAATTACATACAGGTATTTAAAAAGTATTTATTATGTAAAGTATCTGCATTTCCACATGAAGTGTTACTTTATTTAGCAAGCAGTTATTAAGCTATCTTGGTATAATAAGATTATACCAAAATATAATAATTATAAAATATACCAAGGTATAATAATAGTATTATACCAAGATATATTATACTATTATTACACCATTAAAAGTAACAGCAAAAACTGCAGTTACTTTTGCACCAACCTAATATAAATGTTAGATGGTTCTGAGCCATTGATAGTCTTTGTATGCACATACATAGACACACTACACAGGCCAGTTCCTCCGCTGGCAGTCAAACAACTAAAACTATAGGTGAAATTCTCTTGTAGCTTACAGTGAGGAGGGGCTTGTAAACATGAGGTGGGAATCAAACAGTTTGAAGTCTGCCAAGAAGTTGATCCATTTGGGATTAAAGTATCAAAGGATGATGAGACAATCATCAATGTTTGAAATACAAAGATGATGTTATTGCTTGCTATAGTGACAGAGAGCTCTATTGGTCAGGCACAGTGTCCTTGACAGGGCAGACTGCTGGTCTCATACAGGGTGTCTGGAGAGCATGGAGTTGAAGGACTGTGCGTGTAGACAGGTTGACATAGCTGTAGAAAGGTGCTTACTCAGGTGAGACTGTTGTAGGCTGGTAGGCTGGTTGGCACTCAGTGGTGGGTTTATTGGAGTAAGTCTTTCTTGACTAGTTGACATTCAGAGGAAAGGGCCTGGCACTGATTAGGTTGCACAGGTATGAGAACTGATGTTGAGTTGGTCTATGGTTTGGGTTTAAAGCTGGTTATGGCGGCTCATTATTGCCATGGTTCCATAACAATCAGTCTTATCCCAAGTTTGTGGAAAGATTTTATTCTCAGATAATATTTGAATGAGCTATTTTACATCCACTATCTACCTTAAGTAGATTTTCAGGTCCGTTAACAAGAAGTTAGTGTAACTGTGGCTCTTGAATTTGACCACTTGGGTTACTTGACATCTTTAACCTCTGTTTCCTCTGCTGATGACAATGACAGTATCCACCTCATGAAATGCTTTATATGAGATGCTTAGCATAGTACCTGGCACATGATTGATGTTGAATAAATATTAAATATTATTATTATATCTACCAAGGAAGTACTTGCGATTCTCTGAGGAAGAATCACAAGTACCAAATAATCACAAGTACTTGAGGGGGATTAGTTAGCTGGAAATCAGAAACTATGCATCAGTGGCAATAATTACAAGAAATTCTGTAGTGTTTTGGAAACTGTACTCTATTATTTTTCAAAAGTTCATGTTTGTCTCCTCATAATGGTTAGCACTATGATCCACAATATAAAAAGCAACTGTAGTATACTGATCCAGTGGGCTGGGGTGCTTGCTTTTGGAGAGAGGTATCTAAAAATGAAGAGATGACAGTAGTTACAAAGAAAGGGGAGGGTGGGCTGAATCCGTAAGACCTGAGGAAAAGAGACCCCGCAGGGGACCTCATGAGATATGGTCTCACAGCCTCAATCACCAGGCTGGCTGCATGGTTGTTCTCAGGCCACACTTTCTTTTCAGCTCCACAGGCCTCTAGGTTTAATGGTTGGAAGGTAAGAGTGAAACAGCCATGTTTCAAGTTTGGCAGAGTTTGGGAGTGGAGGGGTACCGAGAGGAAAAAGGGGAAGGATTGATAAGGCAGAGCTGACTAGTTAGAGCTGTTTTGTTTTCAAGAAACAGAAACACATTTGAGCTATGTTAAGGGAGAGAAAATTTATCTCAGAATCCAAGGTGCAACTGGGCCTTCAGAATGGACCCGAAGCAGGACAGTGTAGGAAACTGAGAAAGTTCTTTCTCTCTGCTTCTCGTTTCTTCTTCCCTCTGTGCATGAGTTTTTCTGCTTCCCAGACTACTTGGCTCCTCCTCAAGGCTCATTTCTCACTCTCAAGAAAGGACTCTGATTGGTCCATAATAGAGGTCATGTTGGCCAGGGACAACTGGCCAGGTCCAGGGTCCAGGGTCAGGGTACACAGATACCCTGACCATGTGGATGATGTGGGGAGTAGAAAAAAGAAACCTATAAAGTCATGGCTCGACAGACAAAACAATAGATTTCACTCCACCTCATGGGTCCCTACAGAAAAATGCAGGAATGAATGAGGGCTGCTAATGGGATGGTCAGAAGAAGTGCAAAGGTCACACAGAACAGTGATAGAACTGATTTTAGAAATGCTCCCCCATGGACTGTGGTGTCGAACTCATGCACATCTCCATGGGGATACATGCTCTGTGGGGACAGGAATTAAGTCTTCAAAATCTAGTAACCTTATAACACATGTAATTCAGACTAACCACATTTCAAGTGTCCAAAAGCCACATGTGGTTAGTGACTCCTGAACTTGACAGAGCAGTTATAGATGCCCTTATAGTTTCAGAATGACAGTTATATTCTAATTTAATCTCTTCTTGTCTTCACCAGAGCCCATGAAATTGGCCTTATCTATTGAGGCTAAGGCATGGAAGATGTTACTCTGTCGATATTTGAATGAGGAATACAAAAAGAAAATGTCAGACATGATAGCATTTATTAATGAATACTTGAAAAAGTTGTCTAGACCTATTCGTGATTTAGATGATGTCAGATTTGCAATGGAAGCCTTGTCTTGCATACGTGATAATGAAATTCAAATGGACATGACTTTGGGACCAATTGAAGTAAGAAATGATTGCATTCTTTTTCTTGGAATTCTTCAAAAAAAAAAAAAAAAGAAATAGAGACATGCTAAGAAAGTGATTCTTTAACATATTCCTTCATCTTTTATGTGGCACAGTCTGCCTGTTTCTCCTCTCTGATGTTGATGTCTTTGGGAGAATTTTGGCCATTATCAACAGTGAACACTATACAAAAGACACTGTTGTAATACAAAGGAATATTAATATATTTATTATGCTATACTGAGGTAGTCGTGTTTAATTTTTGATACTGGCACCAACGTTTTATGGAAAGTAATAATTGCCCCTTGTCATGTCAATCCCAACATGTTAGGCAAGTTCACAGACTTTGGGGATCAGAACTTGAACAACCTTGGTGAGGCTATTATTTTGTCTATTACTAATGTTTAGAATGTTTTAGAACTAATATTATTTAGAATTTCTGATACATTATGATAAAAATTAGGCTTTTGATTCTTTTTATTATTGTTTTGTTTTCTATAAACAATGTACCGTCTCATTGCCTGCAATATCTGGGTAATTGACACCACCACTGCCTCCTTACAGTGCCCAATATTTATGACTATTTTATGCTTTCTTGAACCCATTGGGAGTTTATACTCTTTGCTAGCTAATGAACTTTATACTTTTATTGACTTAAAAATCTTGGTATTTGGGGATTTTGGATGCTGGCCAGCCAGTATTCAAGATATAATAGATTATCATATCATTTTTTTCTCTTGGCTGCAGAAGCTTAATACTTTGTTTTTGGTGAAAATAATTACTGGTTATCCCTTGGATCATTCAAGTTTCTTTTCTCTGAAGTATCTCCCACATCATTTCATTCCGTTCCTTGTATAGTCAGCCCCTGTTTTAATACAGTCTGAGAAATTATCTTATGTTGTGTTGACACAAGGTCAAGGAGGAAAAAGAGAGACATATACATCTCCATCAGAATCACCTAGGTGCTTATTAAATGCAGATTTCAGAGCCTGTGATCTAGAGTTAGTATCTGGAAGTCAGAATCTAAAGGTGCTTTTTATACACTTTTAATTTTGGAAACCACTCTTCTAGAACATGCTGTCTTCTTCTAAGACATAAGAATGTGTTTCTAGAAGGCATCTAAATCATTTGGCAATGGCTTTCCTTTGTGATATTTCTAAACTCCACCTTCATTCTGCAGGAAGCCTATGCTATTTTAAACAGATTTGAAGTTGAAGTAACCAAAGAAGAATCAGAAGCAGTTGATACCTTAAGATATTCTTTCAACAAATTGCAGAGCAAAGCTGTAAGTACGAATTTAGTTACTTTATTTTTTTAAGTCACTATCTCCAGAAAAAAAGTATTTTATACCTTTTTAAAGCTTAATATACAGTCATGTGCCAGTTAACAACATTTCAGTCAACAACAGACTGCATATACGATGGTGGTCTCATGAGATTATGATACTGTGTTTTTACTGACCCTTTTCTATGTTTAGATACACAAATGCTTACCATTGTCTAGAACTGCCTTCAGTATTCAGTACAGGAACATGCTGTACAGGTTTATAGCCTAGGAGCAATAGGCCATACCATATAGCCTAGGGGTGCAGTAGGCTATCCCATCTATGTTTGTGTAAGTGCACACCATGATGTTCACACAATGACAAAATCACCTAATGACACGTTTCTCAACCTATCCCCATAATTAAGCAATGCAAAACTATAAATTATTTTAATGGTTTTATTGAGATAGAATACACATACCATAAAGTTTACTATTTTAAATTATACAATTCAGTGTTTTTTAGTATATTCACATAGTTGCATAACCACCATCATTATCTAATTTTAAAACATTGTCACCCCTGCAAAAAGAAACCCTATGCCCATTAGCAATCACTCTTGATTCTACTTCTTGCCCCAGCCCTGGCAACCACTAATCTGCTTTCTGTTTCTGTGAATTTTCCTTTTCTGGACATTTAATGTAGACTAAATCATACAATATATGATCTTTTGTAACTTGATTCTTTCACTTACATAATTTTTCAAAGTGATTCATGTTGTCCATGTGCCGGGACTTCATTTTCCTAATGCCTAATGAGATAGAGCATGTTTTCATGTGGCCATTTTATTGGTGATTTGTATATCTTATTTGGAGAAACATGAATTTAAATCCTTTGCTTAATTTTAAAAAGAAATTTTGTTGTCTTTTTATTTTTGAGTTGTAAGAATTCTTTATATATTATGGATACAAGTTTCTTATCAGATATATGATTTGTAAATGTTTTCACCTTTTCTGTGGGTTATCTTTTTACTTTATTGATGGTGTCTTTTGATGCACAAAGTTTTTACTTTGATGAAGTATAGTTCATCTCGTTGTTGTTGGTGGTGGTGTTTTTGGTATGTTATCTGGGAAACCATTGTCCAATCTAGAATTATGAAAATTTATTCCCATGCTTTCTTATGAGAGTTTTATAACTTTAGTACTTACCTTTTGGTTTCTGATACATTTTGAGTTAATTTGTGCATATGGTGTAAGTATGAAGTCCAACTTCATACAAAAGCATGTAGATAATTCAATTGCCTCAACATTGTTTACTGAAAAAACTATCCTTTCACCAACAAATTGTCTTGGTAGCCTTGCTGAAAATCAATTGATCATAGACATAAGGCTTTATTTCAGACTCTCAGTTCTATTCTTTTTATCTATATGTCTATCCTTATGCCAGTACCACATTGTCTTGATTATGGTAGTTTTGTGCTAACATAAAATTTACCATCTTAACCATTTCAGTAGTGTTAAGTATATTCACATTGTTTTACAACCACTCTCCAGAACTTGCAAAAATCTTGCGAAACTGAAACTCTGTTTAGACAACAACTCTCCATTAAACAACAACTCTCCATTTTCCCCTCCCATTTCTAGGTTGCCTGTTCACTCTGCTGATTGTGTCTTTATAGTCCTTATAGTCCTTTTTTTTATTTCTGTTAGGCTGGTAGTGATGTCCCCTTTTTCATTTCTAATTTTAGCAATTTGCATCTTCTCTCCTTTATTCTTGATTAGTTTATATTAGTCAATTTTGTCAGTCTTTTCAAATAAAAAACTTTTGGTTTATTGATTTTCTCTATTGTTTTTCTATTTTCTTTACCAATTTTTTTGTGCTCTAGTTTTTATCATTTCTTTTCTTCTTTTTGCTCTGGGTTTAATTTGTTCTTCGTTTAGTTTGTTGAGGTTACTAATTTGAGATTTTTTTCTTTTACTATAGAACCTGATAGCTATACATTTCTATAAGCATTTTTGAAGTTGATAAACATTTAGACACCAAAAGTTAGACATTAAAAATGAACTCCACAAGGGATGACCTATATTATTTAATTATGCTGAATTTTATTGAATATTAATTAAATTGGTTATTGGCTTTAACGTTTCTTGTTTATGAAAATACTTGTCACTTATACTGAAGCAAGACACAACAGCAAGGAGGCACAAAACTGAAGTTGAGGTCACAGCTTGTGATTGCAGCTCTACCACCAGTCAATTGGATGATTTTACACAATTTAATAACATTTGTTTTTCAATTTCTTCTTGGGGTCATTTAGTAAGGCTAATTTTTTTATGTATCTGTGAGTTTCACTTGAAGTAATGTATATAAAATACTTTTTGTAAAGAAATAAACTCATGTTTATTTAACTTCATATCCAATATTAACTAATAGCTTATTTTGAAAAAATGCTTGCTGGTTAGTCAGACTAGTGAGTCTTAGAAAAGAAATAGGAAATCTCACTGAGGTTTAGTGAAACCCAATTTTCTGCTGTTATTCAATGGAAAAGATTCATGGCTGAACATGGTGGCTCACACCTGTAATCTCAGCACTTTGAGAGGCTGAGATAGGTGGATCACCTGAGCCCAGGAGTTCAAGACCAGCCTGGGCAACATGACAAAACCTTATCTCTACAAAAAATACAAAAATTGGCTGGACATGGCAGCACACACCTGTACTTCTGGTTACTTGGGAGGCTGTGGTGAGAGGATCACTTGAGCCCAGTCAGTTGAGATTGCAGTGAGCTGAGATTGCACCACTGGCGCTCCAGTCTCTCTGGTCTGGACGACAGAGTAAGACCCTATCTCTAAAAAAGGATTCACTTAGGCTGTTCCTTTGTCTTTTTAATGGCTAATGTTAAACCCACTAACCTATCCTTTAGTAGAGACAGACTGTCCTATTCTATAATCACCATTAAACTTGAGGTAGTTTATGTTCCAATCTAAAGATAGCTGCTCTTCTTGAGAGCAGTTGAGAGCAATTAAGAACAGGGGCTTTGGAACTACACAGCCAGGTTTTGAAACTTGACTTTGATACTGGTGCTGGGACTTTGGGGAAGTTACCTAGCCATTCTCTGCCTTAGTTTTCTCACCTATAAAATGGATATCATATTAGCATAGTACAATTTTCTGCATAGGGTTGTTATGAAGATTAAAAGAGTTAACATATGTAAAGAGCATGGGAGATGGCAAGCATTATTTAAGTGCTGGCTATTATTGTTGAAGGTTTAAGCAGAGGCTTTTAAGACCATTGTGTGGGGTATTCGTTATTTTTTTAATACTTAGAATAATGTCACTTTCTTTTAGGAAATAACTTCAACCACTGCAAGCATGTGAACTTATTAGAGATTGCTAATCCCAGATCTTGGCCTGGCCCCACAGACAACATGTGACCCAGGCTGTTCAATAACAGTAACTCTTTCCCAGGCCACACTGATGGCCTGAATTGGATCAACCAGAAGCAGTTACAGAAAAAATGACTTTGCCCCTTGAGTCACAGACTAGAATGATTTGAATCTCCTATATTGAATTCGGGGCCTGAATTCTCGTGGTAGAAAATGTAACATAGTTGTTGGAAGGCTGTGAGAAACTATAAACACCTAATACCAGGATATTATGCCATTGATTTTGCATTCTCACTAACTCTTAGAGGTACATTTGGGTTGTTAATATATTTTATTACACGCAAACAGAGACTTCCTTGTTCATACAGAATATCTGTGAGATAAGGAACTTGTTGGAATAGAATTGTAATTTTTGTTTTTAATATGTTACTTTCAGTCTGAGCTTGAATATTTGTTTTTATTCAAGGTTTCTGTACAAGATGACCTAGTTCAAGTGCAGCCAAAGTTTAAAAGTAATCTACTTGAGGCTGTGGAAGTTTTTCGTGAGGACGTGATAAACTTTGCAAATGAATATGAGTTGGTAATTTTTTTCTTGCTGTATGCTAAAATGTTCTGTGATGTGTATATATGAAATGAAAGTGATGAACCCTGAGAAATAGATATGTTGCATGTAAGTGGCTATATTTGCATATTTGCAGCTATCAGAAAAAGGGGTTAGCTAATCCTTTAAACCAGGGATGTCCAATCTTTTGGCTTCCCTGGCCATATTGGAAGAAAAAGAATTGTTCTGGGCCACATGTAAAACACCCTAACACTAACAATAGCTGATTAGCTGTAAAAAATTGCAGAAAAATCTCATATTGTTTTAACAAAGTTTATGAATTTGACCGGGCGCGGTGGCTCACGCCTGTAATCCCAGTACTTTGGGAGGCCGAGGCGGGCAGATCTCAAGGTCAAGAGATCGAGACCATCCTGGCCAATATGGTGAAACCCTGTCTTTACTAAAAATACAAAAATTAGCTGGGCATAGTGGCGCGTGCCTGTAGTCCCAGCTACTCGGGAGACTGAGGCAGGAGAATTGCTTGAACCCGGAGGCGGAGGTTGCAGTGAGCCAAGATTGCACCACTGCACTCCAGCTTGGTGCCTGGCGATGGAGTGAGACTCTGTCTCAAAAGAGAAAGTTTATGAATTTGTTTTGGGCTGCATTCAAAGCTGACCTGGGCTTCATCTGGCCTGTGGGCTGTGAGTTGGACAAGCTTGGTTTAAGCAAATTTTAAAGAGAAACAAAGCAGATTTTGCTGTTAAAAGGAGAAACAACTTTGGAGACTGTAGAAGGAAGAAATGGTCTGATTTTTTCCTTTCTTGGGGCCTGAATTCTCATGTTAGAAAATGTAATATAGTTGTTGGAAGGCTGCGAGAAACTATAAATGCCTAATACCAGGATATTAGGCCATTGATTTTGCATTCTCACTAACTCTTAGAGAACCAAAAAGATCCCTAAGAATAAATAATAGATGTCATACTGGGTCAGTCTTGTACACAACTCAACCTGGTATTCTGACTAATAATATTGACCTTGAAATTAAACTCAAAACTGAATATGTTCCCCTGAAATATTCTTTCTTTTAGTGGTCACAGTGGATCTGTATTCATAAGATGATTTAAGTCCTTGGTGCTACTTATATAATGCTTTTTTAAACAACATGTACTAAACATATCTGCTGATTTGCCAGCTCATTCTATTGCTAAAGTAAATTTAAAATGGAGACCAGGTCTAAAGAATCCCTGAGCAGACACAGCCAGTCACTTACATAATACATTTTTTTTAACGTGTACTAAATATATCTGTTGATATGTCCCCTCATTCTATTGTTAAAGTACATTTAAAAGGAAGACCAGGTCTGAAGAATCCCTGAACAGACACAGCCAGCCAGGCATCTTAAGTTATCTCACCCTTGCACAATTTGCAGACATAAGCAAATCTGAATGCTATTTCTTATAAATGCCTGTATTAAGAACAGCCCAACTAATCAGAAACAGCAAACAAAACTGTAATTATATAACTGGGGACTTTCCAGCAGGACAGACCAAAGAAGACAACTTTATAACTGAAACCAATCAAACATTTTCTTTATATTACTTCTGTGCTTACTCTGTAAAAGCCTTCTGCAGTGGAGATCCTAAACCAATTCTAGTTTGGAATGACTCAATTTATGAATTGCTGTGTGCTCAGATAAACCTAAAAAAAATTACTGTGCCTCAGTTTACCTTTTAAACACTATTATATTGGGAACCTGGTCTATTATTTATTATATCCATCATATCATATTTGACCATATTATAATAAACATAATATTATTTATTATATCCATCATATCATAAATGGATATTTATTATATCCATCATATCATCATAACATAACTAAGTACATGTTAATGTACTTAGTAGCATTCATTTTTCCATTGGGAATAGCTCCTGTTATTTTAATTTGTGACTACATAGAATATTATTTTATTCCTTTTCTTATTTTGGAGACTGTTTTTGGGGATTATTTTGCAACTGTGTTCTGGTTCATAGCCACCAGAGACTGCTTTCTGCTTCTTCCAAATATCCAACTTACGTGTGTCCTTTTTTCCATATTGGGCTGAACAATTGGTAAAAGGAGGCCGTTCTCAGAACTCTATATCAGTTATTCTAATGCACCACCACAGCATCATCATTTGTAATCATAAATGAAATTTGGCAGAGCCCTTGTGGTACACACTCCATGCCGAATGTAATTTTGTCACATTTTTTATTAACTGTGTCAAGGTCCTTTAAAAATAAATGGAAGATGGAGTGATGAAAATGTTCTAAATGATTGTGGTCATGGTTGCACAACTCTGTGAATGTACTAAAAATCATTGACTTGTACACTTTAAATGAATAAATTGTATGGTATGTGAATTCCATCTCAATAAAGCTGTTAGAAAGAAACAAATGAAAGCTTCAAGTACAGGACAAAATTAGATCATTTAAATTAAAAACAATGCTTGTTTATTTAAATGGAGATAATAGATAAACCCAACAAACTGACAAATACATATGATTAAGAATGAAAATGGAGATTATATTTTTCCTTACAGGAAGGACCCATGGTTCCAAATATACCACCCCAAGAAGCTAGCAACAGGCTACAGATATTTCAGGTGAAACTACATTTTTTTTGGTTACATTGACAATGTGTAATTTTAAAAAATGATTTTAGGGAAAGATGTATATTTTACTTTACAATAGAAAAGTTTGTGTTTCAAGTACATTAGACCTTAACCGCATTCTAATCTGCTAAATGGTACAATTGACTCCTCTGTAGGCCTCCATGCTCCTCTCCACAGAATAGCTCTCTGCATTTTTAGAGAATAAGACTGATTTTGAACTTAAGTATATAACTTATTTTAGTTCTAAGCATCTCATTTGATATGTAAAGTAATTAAATATCATAGTATAGTAACATTTATCAAAATAATATTTTAAATTTTGGCAAATATTTTCCCCGCTTTTCCTCTGTATTCATTATTTTGTCTTCCTTTTGCATCCATTGCTTTAAACTTCCCCACTTCTTTGCCCTATCTTCTCTGCCTGTTCAATACTCACTGGATCAGGCCAACCATACACCATCTTTTTCTACACTCAGATTGCTGAGCGCATCTAGAGAAAAATCACACATCCACATGGATTAATACTTTGCAAATTCATGGATTCCTATGTACACTTGCTCCTCAGGAGCATCAGGCAGTTCTGTTCTTTGCTCCTGCTCTTTTTCCTGTTTCCTGGTGTTGCTGAATATGGTGGTTACGTTCTCTTTATGTCCTCCTTCTCATGTGCATTCTTAATAATTAAAAAAAATGATCAGATGCCTACTATATGGCTTGCTCAGGAGAAATTTGATTAAGAAGTTGTTCTTACCTCTAAGCTGCTAGAATCTAATAGCGAGATAGCAAGCTAGAGAGATAATTGCAAGTATGATGAGAGCTGTGACCTACGTATGTGAAGTCATGTAATGGAAACTGGTGTAAGGGGCTCCCAATCCAGATGGGCTATTGGGGCAGATGGAGAAGGCTTCCTGAAAGAGGAAGAATCTAAACTGTATTTTGAAAGACTAATTAGAGTTAGCCAGGGGAAGGAGGGGAGAAAGCAAGTTAGGCAGAATTTGCAACTCATGCCAAGGCCCAACAGAGAGGAAACTAGTAGGGTGATTTGGGGAGATGTAATGAGTGTAGTGTAAGGTAGTGCACCTTTGGGATGCAGGACCAAAGAGGATAGTGATGAGGAATGAGGCAACAGAGTGGGCAGCGAGCACAAGTGGAGGGCCCGGTAGGCTATAAGAAGCCTGCATCCTATCTTGAGGGTTGAAGGGTTCAAAGCAGGGAGTGATATGATTCTACTTGAATTTTTAGAATAGTTGTGTTTTTAAAAGATTTTAGTGTTATCAGTGTGAAGACTGATTTGGAGGTGATCAAACTGAGAGCAGTTTTGGTAGTACAAGCAAGAAATTGCAAAGATTGAGACCAAGCAAGTGACACCTGTAGAATGAAGCAAACTGGATGGATCATGAGTTTCTTAAAGAGGCAGAATTGACAGGCCTGAAACCTGGTTTGAGGGAAAAAGTCCAAGATTTCCAACTTGGTCATCTAGACAAAGGTAGAGCTATTTATCGAAGTAGGGACTGTGGTAGGAAGAGTGGCTTTGGGATTTGTTTGAGCAGCTGTCTTCAAATTTACAGAGAAAATTTGGAGTATGTGATATAAACCAATTGATGAGTCAGCAACTGGGACATCATGTGCCAAGCTTTTACCCAGGGGTGTGGCTGCTTCATTGAAAAGACAATGTAGGGCACATCTTTTGCCTTTCTGTACCTTCCATTCTGCCTGTGCCTTGGGGTGTGAGCCAAACAGGCTGTTTGCCATGTACTTTGTTGGATATGTGACTTTAGGTCAGATTTGTAGACACAACACTTTTCAAAAGCAGGTGTACTCCAACCCCCTAAAAAAAAAAAAAAAAAAAGCAGGTGCCAAAGTCTGGATCTGTGGAGGTAGAGGTGCCTTACATTGGGCCCTGGGTCCTGGCGGTGCTCTCTCATGTAAATTTAGACGCGTTTTGAGGAGTTCTTGGGCACCCTGCTGGCCTGTTAACAAAGCTGATGCTTTGTTCCTGTTCAGCTAATGCTGTGGGTTTTTTAATATTACTTGGAACCTGAAGGAAAAAAGGGATGAGTGATTGGCATCTATCAGTAATCTTTACACATAGATAAGATTTTAAACACTGTTGTTTTAAGGCATTCTAACTTTGACATTGTTATTTCTCCTTCCCTAGTGTTTACATAGTCCCATGGACTCTTCATTCAGTACATTTATCAAGTAATCACCATGCCAACCACCAAGGAATACACGAAGTACAAAATCTGGCCCTTGCCCTCTAGGAACTAAGAGTTCATTTGAGTTCCCCCAGTATTTTCGTGCCTTCGTGATCTGGGTCCTGTAAAATATAGTCATGGATATGTCAGATCTGTATTTTTGTCTAAGCCTTGTGAGCTCTGATGCTGGATATTCTCCAGGGCTGGGGTTTTAGGGTTCTATGGATATGCTGTACCACTTATACAGAGAGCTCATATGTCATCACAGATGGGTTACTGCTGTTGGCACTTGTGTTTTGAACATTGCTGATATTTAGCATCCCAAATATAGGATATTCAAATTCCAGTTCAAAAGGAAGAAGTAAAAGACATGAGCATTAACTTTGCTGATTTAAGTTGTTAGAATTATTTCAAATGGTGTTAAAATTGCGTCTTCTTTTTTATAGACCCTTCATTGCATGTTGAGGAAATAGGTCCGAATGGATTAGACTAACACTTTGCTCATTTGAACCCTGTAGGATAGAGATGGCTAGTCTAAATTAGTGAAAAATCCTGAATTGTAGAGTTTTTAAAAAGCAACTTTATTACTTTTAGAAGTACTTATGGCAACTCAAAATATAGGCCTTCTGGAGAAGAAGAAATAATTTTATATAACATGAATGCTTTTAGAATGCTTGAAAGCTAACTCTCCTAAGTGTTTAACTTTCCTCTGATAGCTTGGTATCAGTATAAATTTGCTTCACAAATCCTTATTTTATAGATATTACTTAATAAACCTCAGCCTTGCATTTATCCCAATTATAATAAATTCTACTTTAATTCTACTGAATTAATTATATGTTAGTACAATTTAAAAACCTTTGTTACAGGCCAATTTCGATGATCTGTGGAGGAAATTTGTTACATATTCATCTGGTGAACAGCTTTTTGGATTGCCTGTGACTGACTATGAAGTTTTACACAAAACCAGGTGAGTTCAGAAAATAGGCAAGTATTACAAGCAAGTAATTAAATACTACGTATTAGAATCATGTCACCATCAAATCCTTTATCATGCAAAAAATACCATGGCTTGGAGCACAACTGAATATTTTCCTTATTCCAGATATTCCTAACAAATTGGACATACAGTCTCCTATACAAAAGAAATGTTCCAGAGGAGTAGAAAATATGTTGCTAAAATTTTGAGCATGCATGGTTTATATTTTGCCTATGCTTTGCTTTTGACTATTTTTGCATAGTGTCAGTGATTATGCAGAAGCACTGCAATTTTGAATAACTTTTGTTTATTTAGAGGAATAACCCTCCTGGATCCTTTTGCCTTCTTACTCCATTTATGGTAAAATGCTCTTCCCTATTGGGTAGTCATAGAATTTATTGAGATTGAAGGCCAAATAACCTAATTGATTATAAACCACAGATATAAACAAGTATATTTCAATCGAATTTTAGAACTTTAGAATATTCTCAAATAATTTAAAATATAACTTTCCTTAAAAGCAGCAATACAGTGAGCTCATTAGAGTCTTGGTTTTAGAAAATAACTTTATGTTGATTTCCTTCAAAGCCACAGCATGAAAATTTCATGAAAATAGACATGAAATTTTCTGAAGAGAAATGAATGTTTTAGTCATTTAGAGTAGGTGGTTTGTATTTCCTTTCTAAAATAGTCATTCTCTAAACTTAATCCATTAGCCAATTGTGTTAGAATTGCAGACGTCTGGTCCTCATTTCTGATTTGCTGAATTAAAACCTTTAGGATTTGGTCCTAGGAAGTCTGCATTTTACACACTCTCCAGGTGATTGTGATGCACACTCAGTCTGAGATCCAATGCATTAAACCTCAGGATAGCAGGAGAAATAGTCATCACCATTCACCAGCTGGACCAATGAACCATTTTCATTTTGATATTTTAAATTTTATGAATAATTTACGAAATGGTGAGAATGGCGAGACACTTTGAAGCTTTTTTATTTATTTATTTTTTGAGACAGGATCTCATTCTGTTGCTAATACTGGAGTGCAGTGGTGGAATCACTTGACCTCCAGAGTTCAAGTGATCCTCCTGCCTCAGCCTCCCAGGTAGCTGGGATTACAGGGGCGTGCCACTGGGCCCAGCTAATTTTTAAAAAATTTGTATAGAGACAGGGGTCTCCTTATGTTGCCCAGGCCGGTCTTAAACTTTGGGACTCCCACCTCGGCCTCCCAGTGTGTTGGGATTTCAGGTGTGACCCCCTGCACCTGGCTGAGAAACACTTTTTTGTTGTTGTTGTGATGGAGTTTCACTCTTGTTGCCCAGGCTGGAGTACAATGGCACGATCTTGGCTCACTGTAACCTCTACCTCCTGGGTTCAAGCGACTCACCTGTTTCACTCTCCCAAGTAGCTGGGATTACAGACATGCACTGCCACACCAGTCTAATTTTGTATTTTTAGTAGAGGCAGGGTTTTTCATGTTGGTCAGCCTGGTCTGAAACTCCTGACCTTAGGTGATCCGCCTGCCTTGGCCTCCCAAAATGTTGGGATTACAGGCATGAGCCACCTAGCCTGGCTGAGAAGCACGGAGGTTAGAAGATTAAATTAGAAGATTTAAATTAAATTAGAAGATTTAATACGAATTTAAGCAGAGTAAACTCAAACTTTTATTTTGTAATATCCAGATTTGAAGATATATGTATGCAAAATGGGGACCAGCATTGAATGAAACTAATTTCTCATCAGCTGTCATGTGTGAACCTGGAGCATACCCATATTGTAAATAAGGATTTCATGTTTTAAATCATCTCCAATGGATCTCTAGCTTATCATTACTTCTGATTTTTCTGGTACTTGCATTGTCAAGACTGAAAACTGTTGAAAACTCGGTTATTTTTTTAAGAGAAGACTATCATCTTTTTTGCTCTATAAATATGGAAGACATTACTTTTAGATTTGAATGATCAATTCCAAGAAATTTTACATTTCTAAATCATCTATTTCCTTAAATAGACATCTGACTTCAACATTTGTCCACTTATGAAATGTGTCAAATAAAACTTATGTAAATATCCTAAATAATGAAGGAACACTGTCACTTATCTTTTTCAGAAAATGGAGTAGTCTAGGTTCTTGTTGCAAAATATTGCATGATAAGGGCCTTACTTCTACTGAAGTCTATGGAAATATATTGTTTACTTATAAATTACTGGATTTTATAAAATTCATCTAGGTTATCATCTGAAGACATAGTATGAGATTTTGCGTATTGATCAATTTCACCAACTTGTAATCCCAGCTACTTGGGAGAGTGAGACAGGTGAATCGCTTGAACCCAGGAGGTAGAGGTAACAGTGAGCCAAGAAATTGATCATCAAAAGGGAGTGCTGCTTCTCTTTTCTGTTTAATACTTGGAAAACATATTCCTTTGTCAAGATTTTTCTCTTTACCTTTTTAGGTAGAAAATGAAAAATTCTGAATTCTTTTATATATATATTTTATTGCACTTTAGGTTTTGGGGTACATGTGAAGAACATAAAGAGTTGTTGCATAGGTACATACATGGCAATGTGGTTTGCTGCCTCCATCCCCATCACCTATACCTGGCATTTCTCCCCATATTATCCCTCTCCAACTCCCTACCCCCTGCTGTCCCTCCCCTAGTCCCCCCCAACAGACCTCAGTGGGTGATACTCCCCTCCCTGTGTCCATGTGTTCTCATTGTTCAACACCCACTTATGAGTGAGAACATGCAGTGTTTGATTTTCTGTTCTTGGGTCAGTTTGCTGAGAATGATGGTTTCCAGATTCATCCATGTCTCTACAAAGGACATGAACTCATCGTTTTTTATGGCTGCATAGTATTCCATGGTGTATATGTGCCACATTTTCCCTGTCCACTCTGTCATCAATGGGCATTTGGGTTGATTCCAGGTCTTTGCTATTGTACACAGGGCTGCAATGAACATACTTATGCATGTGTCTTTATAATAGAATGATTTATAATCCTTCGGATAGATATCCAGTAATGGGATTGCTGGGTCAAATGGAATTTCTATTTATAGATCCTTGAGGAATCGCTACACTGTCTTCTACAATGGTTGAACTAATTTACACTCCCACCAACAGTGTAAAAGTGTTCCTATTTCTCCACATCCTCTCCAACATCTGTTGTCTCTAGATTTTTTAATGCTCGCCATTCTAACTGGCATGAGATTATATCTCAGTGTGGTTTTGATTTGCATTTCTCTAATGACCAGTGATGATGAGCATTTTTTCATATATTTGTTGGCCTCCTATATGTCTTATTTTGAAAAGTATCTGTTCATATCCTTCACCCACTTTTTGAATGGGCTTGTTTGTTTTTTTCTTGTAAATCTGTTTTAGTTCTTTGTAGATTCTGGATATTAGCCCTTTGTCAGATGGGTAGATTGCAAAATTTTTTTTCCCATTCTGTTGTTTGCCGGTTCACTCTAGTGATTGTTTCTTTTGCTGTGCAGAAGCTCTGGAGTTTGATTAGATCCCATTTGTCTATTTTGGCTTTTGTTGCCAATGCTTTTGGTGTTTTAGTCATGAAGTCCTTGCCTATGCCTATGTCCTGAATGGTTTTGCCTAGGTTTTCTTGTAGGATTTTTATGGCGTTAGGTCTTGTGTTTAAGTCTTTAATCCATCTGGAGTTAATTTTAGTGTAAGGAGTCAGGAAGGGGCCCAGTTTCTGCTTTCTGCACATGGCTAGCCAGTTTTCCCAACACCATTTATTAAACAGGGAATCCTTTCCCCATTGCTTGTTTTTGTCAGGTTTGTCAAAGATCAGATGGTTAAAGATGTATGGCACTGCCTCCAAGGCCTCTGTTCTGTTCCATTGGTCTATATCTCTGTTTTGGTACCAGTACCATGCTGTTTTGATTACTGTAGCCTTGAAGTATAGTTTGAAATCAGGTTGCATGATGCCTCCAGCTTTGTTCTTTTTGCTTAGAATTGACTTGGCTATGCAGGTTCTCTTTTGGTTCCATATGAAGTTTAAGGTGGTTTTTTCCAGTTCTGTGAAGAGGGTCATAGGTAGTTTGATTGGGATAGCATTGAATCGGTAAATTACGTTGGGCAGTATGGCCATTTTCACAATATTGATCCTTCCTAACCGTGAGCATGGAATGTTTTTCCATCTGTTTGTGTCCTCTCTTATTTCCTTCAGCAGTGGTTTGTAGTTTTCCTTGGAGAGGTTCTTTACATCCTTTGTTAGTTCTTTTGTTTCATATTTTAGTCTCTTTGTAGCAATTGTTAATGGCAGTTAGTTCTTGATCTGGCTCTCCTTAATTCTATTATTGGTATATAGGAATGTTTGTGATTTCTGCACATTGATTTTGCATCCTGAGACTTTGCTGAAGTTGCTTATCAGTTTCAGGAGGTTTTGGGCTGAGATGATGGGGTCTTCAAGCTACACAATCATATCATCTGCAAATAGAGACAATTTGACTTCCTCCTTTCCTAATTGAATACCCTTTATTTCTTATTTCTTTTTCTTGCCTGATTGCTCTGGCTAGAACTTCCAATAGTATATTGAATATGAGCGGTGAGAGAGGGCATCCTTGTCTAGTGCCAGATTTCAAAGGGAATGCTTTCAGTTTTTGCCCATTCAGTTTGATATTGGCTGTGGATTTGTTGTAAATAGCTTTTATTATTTTGAGATACGTTCCGTCGATATCTAGTTTATTGGGAGTTTTTGGCATAAAGGGCTGTTGAATTTTGTCAAAGGTCGTCTCTGCATCAATTGAGATAATCATGTGGTTTTTGTCTTTGGTTCTGTTTATATGGTGAATTACGTTTATAGAGCGTATGTTGAACCAGCCTTGCATCCCTGGGATGGAGCCTACTTGATTGTGGTGGATAAGCTTTCTTATGTGCTGTTGCAATTGGTTTGCCAGTATTTTATTGAAGATTTTTGCATTTGTGTTCATCATGGATATTGTCCCGAAGATTTCTTTTCTTATTGAGTCTC